CTAAACCGCTGAGCCACCCAGGGATCCCCAGGTTCATACCTTTCTTACAGCCATTATCATAGTCGCCTGCTATATCTGAAATGGCTGGGGGAGGGGAGACCCAAAATTAATATAGTCGAACAAATTAATAAGAGTATCACCTTGAAGACAGGATTAAAGAGGGAATTCCAGGTGGCGGACAGGCCTAGGAGAGTGATGAACTACTTCTGCAGGATACTGTGACACGATTGGCTTGATTGGACCAACGGTACACATGGAGGCCAGTATGGATAACACTGGAAAAGAGGGTGAGGTAAATTATAAAACACCTTTAACACAACTAGACAGTCACTTCTCATAGGCCATAGGGACATGTTGCATGCTTACTGTTTCATCCATTTTACACATATTTGAGCACCTACTATGGTGTGAAGCACAATTTTAAGCAACAAACAAGACAGACAAGATCTTGCTCTTGTGAAACGCGCGTTCTAGCCAGAGTGGGGACAGTCACGAGCAACAGATTATTTTGGAGATTGAGGAGTTCTAAAGATCATCGAATAGCAACCTGTCACACGGAGCACCTGGGGAAACCACCTCAGATGGGGTGCTCAGGGGACGCCTTTTCTGAAGAAGTGACATCCGAACGAAGAGGAATGGGAAGGAACAACTGTGGGAAGAGTGATCGGGCGTCAGGGACAGCAAACACCAACGTCCCAGAGACTCACAAATCGATGTGTGCTCAAGGAACAATAAGGCTAGAGCCTGGTGAGCAAAGGGAAGGGCTGTAGGGAAGCAAGAGGATTGCTTTATGAGGATGGTATTTCTGCCCTGGGGATTGAAGAGGAAAGAGCAGTAAATCTCAGCTGCTTTTCTGCAAATGATCATATCCTTTTTTTTTTTTTTAAGATTTTATTTTTATTTACTTTACAGAGTGTGTGGGTGTGCGAATAAGGGGAGGGACAGAGGGGAGGAAGAGAATCCTCCAGGAGACTTTTCACTTATCATAGAGCCCAATATGCTGCTCCATCTCATGACCCCAAGATCAAGACCAGAGCCAAAATCAAGAGTTGGATGCTTACCTGACTGAGCCACCCAGGCGCCCCTCAAATGATCTCTTTTCTAAATTACTTGAAAGGCGTGTGGTATGGAAAGTCAGGAAAATGGCAATGGAGTTTGCCCCATCACTGAGCAGGGGGGCACTGTGTTCTCCAGGTGTCATATTCACCTCCATTCTTCCCCAGCACTGAAGAGGCCAGGGTTTGACCCCTCTTGGGTACGTTTGCTTTGCTCTCCCCTTGCAGTGGGTCTTCTCATTCAAATGCCCCGTGGGATGGGTAACTGGGTAGGGAGGTGCCAGCAGGTGTTGTCCCTTCACCAATACACTTGCAGCAAAGACATCAGTGAACATCTCCCAACTTGTGCTGAGCACTCCATGGAGAGGCTCTCATTTACGCTCAGATCACCCAATGGCGGGACACACATTCTCTCATTTCACAGACCCAAAAGGTTCCAAATCATACAGCAAGAAGCGGCAGAGTAAGACTGAAATCCAATTTTTCTCTTTAATTTCAGAATTTGTCCTCTATATGTGAATATTCTTGACATTCAAAAATACAGAGAATAACATATTGAAACCCATGGACACCATACACAGCTCAAGAGATATAACTTGAAGCCCCTGTGTACCTCTCCATGCTATCAAACCACATGGCTGCCTATTACTCCTACTTGGGAAACACTGCAAGGGTATCACTTTACCCTCCATTCCATAGTGCAAGCCAGGAATCCAGTAGGCATGAGTGCCACCTCCAATCACCAGGTTCAATTCATTTTGATATCTATTCCCATTTCCACTATTACTTCTACCTTTCTCCTTTCTCCATGTGTCGTCTCTTATTGCAATGGCCTCCTAAATGGTCTCCCTCATCTCCTCTTCCCTCCTTCCAGTCTAATCTCCACATTATAACACCAATCTTAAGAGCTTTGAGTAGCTGCCTTTGCTCTTAGGATATAGACAGACAAAATCATACACGTGGCAATGCAAAGTCTCATATGCTCTTTCATCTACTCAACATTCCAACTTTGTTCTCTGTGCTTTGGAGCTACTGATCCTCTTGCAGTTCCTTATGATCCTTGTACTCCCTCCTATCACAGGGCCTTTGCACATGCTCCCTTCTCCACCTGAATAACTCTTCCCCTTCTCAGGTAAACGTTCCCTGAGCCCTGATTGGGTCACTCTTTGGCACCTGTCAAACTTTACATTTGCTTGCGAGATTAATGAATTAAAATCTTTCTTTCCTAACAGGCCAAAGACCAAGAACCACTCACTTAGTACAAAATACATGGTTAAGACATAATAGCCAATGTATATATGACATATATAGCATGCCAGGCAGTGTTCCTAGAACTTCACATGTATTGACTTACTTTAAGATCTCTCAAAAGCCCTAGATAAAATATGTACAATTCCTAGCCCCATTTTTACGTGTAAGCAAAGTAAGTCACACAAGCTAAGAAGAGGCACAGCTGGATTGTGAACCATAGGCAGGCAGTTTCTGGAATCTGTGCTGGACGCTCATGTTATGGTGCCTCACTAGCCTTTGCTGAACGCAGGACAGCACTGAGTGCTTTGGCTAGAGACTAGACAGCACCATCAGTAACCTTAGTTCAACTAAAAAAAAAAAAAAAATTCCTTTCACTTGGGTTCTGGCAAGGATCTTATGGTTTTTTTTTTTTTTATTTTCTGAACTTTGCTGCAAAACATACTATCTTTCCAGCATTTTATTCCAGCTAAATGGCCTTCACTAATATTCTCATGTGGAGCAAACTGCTGAGAGGCAGGAGGAAGTTGGAGTGACAGAAATATGGATTATTTATTGGGAGTATGGGTAGGCCACACGAGGAAACTCAAAAGATTTTCTGGATGTTGTCTTATTTAACCTTCACTGATTCCTGATAACGTTACACACACAGGACAGTTCTTAGATAACAGATGAGGCAAAAGGCTGGGGTGAGTAAGGCTGCTAAGCCATAGGAAGGGGTGGGGTGAGAATGATCCCCACACTTATCTAGCAGAGAAACATCTTCCTCTTTTAAGGATTGAAGGTAGCTAGCCAACCTTTCCCAATTCTTGGTGGAACCTCTCAGCAAGGACAGAGTCCCTCTGGGATGCCTGGGTAGCTCAGTGGCTGACCAACGGCCTTGGGTTAAGGGCATGATCTTGGAGTCCCAGTATTGAGTCCCACGTCGGGCTCCCTGCATGGAGCCTGTCTCTCTCTCATGAATAAGTAAGTAAAATCTTTAAAAAAAAAAAAAAAAAAAAAAAAAAGGACAGGGCAGCCCAGGTGGCTAAGCGCAACCTTCAGCCCAGGGTGTGATCCTGGAGACCCTGAGTCGAGTCCCACATCAGGCTCCCTGCATGGAGCCTGCTTCTACCTCTGCCTGTGTTTCTGCCTCTGTGTCTCTCATGAATAAATTTAAAAAAAAAGAAAAGAAAAAAAGGACAGAGTCCTTCCTAGGTTTTCCCAGTATGGCTAGAGTAGGGTAGTTATCCTGCAAGCTCAAGCTATATGGTAAAGAGCTCTATAAACCAGCTACATACGATTAACTCTTAACATGGTGAAAATGTAGTAAATCAGGAAATTCTTCGCGAGGAGCCCATGTACCAATCTCAGAGAAAGTCAATGTATGCACATCTTCTTTATGTGCATTTTACTGCAGAAAAGACTTTCCTTAATTTCTTGCAGGACATGAAATAAAAAGGCAAGCCTTTACGCCTGCAGACACATTCTTTCTGGTTCACATGTGCCTTTTACAGAGGTTCCTTCGCCGGCTGAAACATTTCTGTTCCTCTGAATACCTTCTAGCTATGGATGGGGGCGTCCAAATGCCCACCCCTCCTCAGCTAGGCCTCACAACTGCATGAGCATTCATCTCCTTGAAGCCGAAGCTGCGTAGAAGGCCAAGGGCAGTCAGGAACCTTAAGGCCAGTCCCGAGCAGGCCATTAACCGGCTCCACGTAATCTCGGACAAGTTGCATATCCTCTCTGGGCTGGTTTCCACACCTGCAAAGTGGAAGTTGAGCCGCATGGTCTTCAAGGTCCTTCCCAGCTGAGAGCCTGGTACCAAGCAGGCCTGGCCATGAAAGCGGCTTCCTGTGGGCGCGGCGCAAGGCTTTAACGGTCCCCCCTCCCCCGCTAGCGCCCGCGAAACGCTCCTCGACACGCCCCTCCGAGTGACGGCGCTTTCCCCAACCGCAGCCCGAGCACCGCTCCGCCCCTTCCCGGGGGCGTCCCATCGTGCCCCGCGCCGGGCTCCAGAAGCGGCGGGGCGCCTCCCGCCTTTCCGCGGCGCCGACCCCGAACTCCTCTACCCAGTTCTCCCGGGCGCCCTATCCTATCAACGTCTAGCGTCCCAGCCAATCACGCGGGCCCGGAGTCTCGCCTTTGGCCCACCCTCCTCCGGGAGCTCAGCCCGTCTGCGCTCAAGGCCTTTACCAGGCCAGCCCAATCAGCGGCCAGCTCTCTCCTGCCCCACCCCAATCTCCCTCCCTCCGACCAATCAGCGCACCTCATTCCGCTGCCCGCCCAGCCAACCCGGGCCTTGAAACCAGCGGGCGAATGGGCGCAGGGCGGCCCTTCAACGCTGACCGCCTGGCCAATTGGGGATTCCGCGTGGCCACGGCGGCAGCCAATCGGCAGGGAGCGCGGTGCCGCCGCGGAGAGGTCCGGCCCGAATATCCCTCCGCCTTCCTCCCTCCCTCTCTCTCCCTCCCTGCGAGCCGCCGTTCACTTACCGCCTCCCTTCCTTCTTTCTCCCTCCGCCACCCGAGCACCAGCCGCGCTCTGAGCTACCCCCGGGGTCCCTCCCCCGCCGCCAGTGGAGCAGCTGCTGCCGCCGCCGCCAGCAACAAATTAGGAGGGGGGGAAGGAAGGAAAAGAGGAAGGAAAGGGAGCCGGGGCGACTACCAAGAGGGAGCCGGTGAATGGGCTTGTGGTGACCCCCGCCCCCCACCCCACCCTCCCTTCCCACCCGACCCCCAACCCCCATCCCCAGTTAGAGCCGCCGCCCGAGAGGCCGGACCGTCGTCTTAGGAGGAGTCCCCGCCACCCCCTCCGCCATGGAGCTGATCACCATCCTCGAGAAGACCGTGTCTCCCGGTAGGACGCGGGGGCCGGGGGTCGGGCTGAGGTGACCGGGGGGGGGGGGGGAGGGGAAGCCCTGGCCCCTCTGACCCTGTCCCTTTCCCACTTTCCTTCCCCCCCAGATCGGCTGGAACTGGAAGCGGCGCAGAAGTTCTTGGAGCGTGCGGCCGTGGAAAACCTGGTGCGTGCCACCCCGCCGTCCACCATCCCGCCCGCCGGCCACCCATCCCCTGCGTGTGGGCCTTCCCGCCCTCCCGGAGGCCCAGGCCTCGGGAACCCACCCCGCCCCATCCCGTCCCCCTCCCCCCCACCCCGGTCCAACCTAACCCCGCCATCGGGAAGCCGGTGGGTGTGTCCCGCCCCGGGCCCCGGCAGCTGGCCAATGGCGCGGCGCGCCGGGGTGACTGCCGCCCAATCGCCGCGCGGCTTGAGGGCGGCGGTGCAGCGGGAGGGAGAAAGAGGGAGGGAAGGGAAGTTAGGTTGCGCGGCGCTGCGTGTTCAGCAAGGGTGGGGGTGGGGGAGCCGGGCCTAGGGGCCATGTGGAAGCTCGGCGCCCAGCTACCCGCCCTGTGCTGACCCGGGCCGGCTTCTCTTTCCTGTCCCGTGGCCCTTGTGGTTCTCCCCCCTTACTTCCCAGAGTCTACCCTTTCCTATGCCCCTTGGTACTGTGCTCATGGCCAGGCCTGGCACCCGAGTACCTCCTAACACACTCTGGCAATATTTCTCCCTTTGCTTCCTGGGTATTCGTTTAGAGGATTATTTAGTTTTTGGTTTTTGTTTTTCACTTCGATGGGTAGAGACTGAATCTATACCCATACAGCAGGCTGAGACTCCTCCTTGATCGGGCCTGTTTCCAGATGAAATCACAGAGGAAAGTTCCTCATTATCGTATTTTCAAATTTAAGGGGTATGGAAAAAAACGAAGAGAAATCCGCTAGACTGGGCCTCTGTTTAAAAATGTGGGATGGATTGGTTGAAACAGCCTGTGTACCAGTGTCGTTTCTCTTTGATGTCCCTCTTATGGGGGGAGGGGTTGGGGAGCAGATGGAAGGGTGGATGGTATTTGACATCTTTTAAAGGTAATAGGTAATAAGCCTAAATAACATTGTAACCAAACATGTTCCTTTGTTATCTGGACGAAATGTAAGCAAAAAAGTGACAAGGCTTATTTTATACAAACTGCCTTAAATGACCTTTTTTTTTTTTTTTTTTGGCACTGGTTTTTACTAGTTAGCTTTTTATCCTTATGTTTCTGTAGAAAGGATTTTTTCTGCTAGTAAAGACCAATAATACTTCTATTTGGGATATATTCCTATTTCTGCCTCTGCTCAAAGGCTTTACAAGAAGCCTTTTATTCTATTCCTAACATTTTATCTTCTGACATTCTTAACATTCCTTAGTGGTACATAATTAATAAAACTTTTAAGAATTATCTTCTGTGATTGCAAGACTTGTTAGTGGTAAGAAACTATCTGCTTTTGGTTTTTTCTGTTAACTTCCATTTGGACAGAGCTTTCTGCAGGGAAGATGAATGTGTCTTAAAATTTTTAAACATTTTTGGGGACCTGCGCATCACGGAAGGTTCAGTAAGCTTTTCAGAAATGTACTGTATGTTCAGTGGACAGCTCAAGTTCAGAATGCATGGGAGCCTTTAGCGTGTTAACTGTTGGCTGTTAAATGTAAAATATTTTTTCCTGGCAAATTTGTCTTGGCATTTTTATCTTCTCACTTTCTCTTGTTTCTAATATTAATCACATCTATAAGTCTTTTTTCAGTGTTTCTCTCTCCTTGAACACTTAAAGCTAAAACAGAGGACTAGCCTCCTAAATCTGTTTTAGGCTTGTAAGTATTTATCTCCGTTATCAAAGATTACCTGCCTACATGAGATCAAAAGCCACCCTAATTATTATTCCTTTCAGACTAATTTTTTTAATTTCGAGAAAATTTTACTCTCTACCTGTCTTCACATAATCATTCATTTAACATATTTATTGTTGGGCATTGTTAAATAGAAGAATCCTTTGATTACTAGATTGTCAAACTTAATTTATTTTAGGAGATCTAATATGAAGATTTGAGGACTAAAAATGATGTTCATAGGAAAATCTGTACCTTCTGTAAATGCTGAGGCTGCATGAGAAGATGGATGACTTGTGTACCATGTAACATTTTTATAGGAGTTATGAAGTAGATATTGTAGCATTTTCCAAGATGTTTGTTATATGTTCTAAAAAACTTAAGTTTCCCCCAGTGTTTTGGTGCTCTATAAGGTATTCTTAATTGGTGAAATTCCAAAGATACTTTCATTCACAAACACATTTTCTCTTAATAGCCCACTTTCCTTGTGGAACTGTCCAGAGTGCTGGCAAATCCAGGAAACAGTCAGGTTGCCAGAGTTGCAGCTGGTCTACAAATCAAGAACTCTTTGACATCTAAAGATCCAGATATCAAGGCACAATATCAGCAGAGGTGGCTTGCAATTGATGCTAATGCTCGACGGGAAGTTAAGAATTACGTAAGTAACTTTATTTTCTTTTAAAGTCTTGTTAGCCTCTGGGAACTAGAAACCTCGTCCTCCACCCCACCTCCCCATCCTCTCCTGGACCCCCTAAAAGAAACATCTTGGTCAGTTCTTTTATCATTTACATGGGATAGAGCTGACAGTGTAATACGATTCTGAGACTTAAGCTTCACTTGAAGGAAAAAAAATTGCATTTGACTTAAATTTTTTTCTCAGTTCAGCTTGTCTGTACTCTGCCATCATTTCCCATTAATGAATGCATTGGAATTATTTTCAGAAAACTAAGGTAGGGGCACCTGAGTGGCCCATCAGTTAAGCGTCTACCTTTGGCTCAGATCATGATCACAGGGTCCTGGAATCGAGCTCCCTGCTTAGTGGGAAGTCTGCTTCTGCCTCTGCCCCTCCCCTGTGCTAGTGCTCTCTGATTTGTGAGTGCACGCTCTTTTTCTCTCTCAAATAAAATTTTTTTTTTTTTAAAGCTAAGGTAAACCAGCTTTTTTTTTTTTTTTTTTAATGATAGTCACAGAGAGAGAGAGAGAGAGGCAGAGACACAGGCAGAGTGAGAAGCAGGCTCCATGCACCGGGAGCCCGATATGGGATTCGATCCCGGGTCTCCAGGATCGCGCCCTGGGCCAAAGGCAGGCGCCAAACCGCTGCACCACCCAGGGATCCCGGTAAACCAGCTTTTTAGGGAACTTTAATTGGTTGCCAGAATTTGTAGAATCTCTGGTGACTTGACATAGTATACAAATTGGTTCCCAAACTTGAAGTATGAGAATCAGTTAGGGTATTTGCTAACAATAATATATTTCCAAGCTCCCTCCAGAGATTATGTTTTGTTGGAGTGAGGCTTGGGAATATTTTTTAAATATTCCTGTCTTCCTAAATGATTTTTTTCATTCTCATCAGTCCTGGCTCTTGTTGAACTTGTGCTGTAGATAATTTTCATTGTTTAATGGTTTAGGCATGGCACTATGTGGAGTTTAAAGAGGAGCTAAATGATCTCTTGGGCCTTTTAAGCCAAAGAGTTTGTGAAATAACAATATGATGTTAATGGTGCTTTTTTCTATTTAGTAAATTATGAAAAACTTTCTTTAGGAATATCTGGCTTTTAATCAGGGTGTTCAAAGAGTGGACTGATGAGTTTTAAGGAAAATTGAATGTCCCTTGCTCTGTATCATGGAGGTCATGTGACTGTTGTTGAGTTAAAATCCGTAATTCTAGCTACAGGAAAAGATACTTAGAATACATGGACAAATGTCCTCTGCACTCCCCAGTTAATGAGGTTCTTTAGCAGTCTGTCGTATGTGCATAAGGCATAGAAAATGGTAAGTCAAGCAATTAATCCTTGGTATTTGAGAGGAAACCAACTGGGGGACTCCTAAATGTGTAGTTGCACATGTCATGGTTATACACATCATACTTGCTATTTCCAGGTGTTTGGTAGATTTGTGCCTCTTAGGGCAACAACTTCTCTTTCAAGTTATATACTCTTCTCTCTAGTCTTGTGTGAAGGTACTCATGATTAGGTTTTGAAAGCCAACTTATTTTGAATCTTCTTTGGAATATGTAGAGCAATTTCTGTCCACATTGAGTCTGCTTATGTAAAAACATTTTAATCTTCTCGTAATTTGATATGATTGAGGTTTATTCCATCAGTCAGTTACTGGAAATCTTGGTGCTTGTAGTGCCCATTCACTTTCTTATCTTGCTGAAATTATGCAATAGTAAATGAGATGAGATGTGATTGGAACTGTAATTGACTCTTTTTGGCACATCAGTCTTAAGACTTTTTAAAATTTGAATAAATTAGCGTATGTGTTGTTGAACCCTTCTGCACGAAAGAAAATTAGCAGTTAATCATACCCTTTTTTCCCTTTCACAGCAGCTCTGGTAATGAATACTTTCTCAGGGCTGATGGTTATTTATTTTTTGAAATGTGGGTCTTGGGCACAGTTTAGAGTCACTCCTTTCTCTTATTTCTGGTAATTGACTGTTATCATTAGGGTTACCACCTAGGTTAAAAAAAAAAAAAAACCGACCTTTGTGGTCTGTAAATCACCTCAAGTAATGCTAACTAGGGGTCTTTCAGAAGCAATGTCAAGGAGGAAAGATAAAGATACAGTGGGGTTCAGTGCTATCCACATGTGTACCAGGAGGTGGTGTGGTATATGTAGTATAGAGGCACCCTGACCTGGAGCTCTCAGTCAGACATGGGTTAATACCTGTTCTGCATCTGCTGTTTTAGACTGGTCATCTCATCCCTACCTCCGTGCTCCATGTCTTCCACATAACAGTTTTTCTTAAGAGTCATCCTGGCTCTGGTAACCCTAGAGAGCAAAACTTTCATTTACGATCAATCAGAACAGTTTGTTACTGGGCAGAGCTCTTGTCAGTGGGGGTGGGCAGGGATGATGATATACTGTATGGGGGAAAGATGGGGAGTTCATTATTATTAGCTACAAAGCAGGCTACTAAGTGACCTGACCCAGTCAGCAGAGCTGGCCCGAATATCTGGCAGCTACGCTTTGTCCTGTGTTCATGCCAGGAACAGTTAACTGTTTGCCTTTTGAGTGGACTGGTGATTCTTAGTTCATTGACTGAATTAGCTGATTGTGGTAATGATTAACCTTGGGTCGATTGTGGCTTCATCCTTTATCTGTACCTGTGCCTTTCCCCTTTACATAAATCCTTGTATGATTATCTCTTCAAACAAGACCTGCTTAATGAGAAGCGGATCTCATTTTAATTGACATATCTAACTAGTTCTTGATATCTGTTGATGGTGGAGAGAAGAGTTTTCTGATTCTTGGGCAAACAGAACAAATCCTTCCAGATTGAAAGTTAAATAAGGATTCATTCTTAGGTGTTAGTAACATCAGTAACTTTGTATCTGCATCTAGTGATGTTCCCTGACCAAGGCCTTTGTATGAAAGTCACTGTGGGGTGCTAACCTGTCATTGACCATAGGGAAGAAGGCTTGTTCCACGTTTCATAAGTTGGAACGGGTCTCTTCCTTGAATCAGGCTAGACTATAATCTGTGAATCAGACCCATTTAAATGCCCAGAGTTAGCCTCATTCTGAAGTCCCACATTTTCTATCCACAAAACAAGGCTGTGAACATCCTTCCATTGTACCTCTAGCAAGGAGCCTAGAAGCTTAATTTTGTCTTCTTTGCCTTCTAACATTATCTCCTTCTGACTACTTTCTTATTTTGTTGAACATTGATGTGAGATGTCTGGCTTTGGAGAAGTCCTTTTGGTAGTAGGGAGTGGTTGATTTCTTTTCTAGGCTCTGTAGCAACATTGTGCTGGTGTTGGTTAGTGAAGCTGGTGGTTCTTTTTTTGATAGCGGACTATATTGTATATACCTTTTTCTAATTTTGTGTGTTGCAGAAAATTCAGGCTGATCTAAGAGATGTGGTGGTAGGCAAACATGTTCAAATAGTATTAGTAATTGATACTTTTCATCTTATTTTGTGTGTGTGTGCGCGCAGGTTTTGCAGACTTTGGGCACAGAAACTTACCGGCCTAGTTCTGCCTCACAATGTGTGGCTGGTATTGCTTGTGCAGAGATCCCGGTGAACCAGTGGCCAGAACTCATTCCTCAGCTGGTGGCCAATGTCACAAACCCCAACAGTACAGAGCACATGAAAGAGTCAACATTGGAAGCTATTGGTTACATTTGCCAAGATATAGTAAGTACGGTCTTCTGTATCTAACTTAGATAGCTGATTCCCTCTAGTTGTGACTTGCCTGGTATTAGGATTGTTTTTACGTGATGGAGAAAACCAAGCTACAACAGAGTATTTTGCAAGTAGGACTGCTTTATTTAATCTAGACTTCTGTATTGGGATAGCTAACTGATCCTCACATTGCTAATCATGCCCTAAAGAGAATTGAGGATCACAAGCTCAGAACAAAGAAATCTCTATGCTTGGAGAGGTATAGATTCCAGATTTCTAAAAGAAGATGTGTTCTGTTGTGGAACATCCCTGACCCCGATCCCTTTCTCAAGGTCCTCAGGGTACCATGGATGCTGTCTTCCTTTTTATTTACTATCTCACAGAAACACTATGCCAGCTCTTGCTGTAGTTGGCTTAGCCACTGGAGGCACAGCAGTCTGTGAAATGTAGCCCTCCTGGGACTATGGCTGCTGCTGAGGTTACCACCCTGGTGTCTGATTCCACATATAGACTTGATGAAGCAAAGGAGTCCACACTTGACCTGGACTTAGACTACCTAGGTGTTGTGCCCAGGCATTGATCTTTGGCCTTCAGAAGCTTTACTTCAGTTGATACAGATGGCCTGGAAAAAACATCAGACTGCCCTTTCCCTTTGCACAGAAGGGAGAAGAAAAAGCCAGCATTACCTCATGCCCAGAGTCATTATGCTAGGAAATCAGATGAAGTTGATGAGTTTAACTTGTTTCAGTTCAATTTTGGACTTCAGGCCCTAGGATATTTTGCAGGTGGTTTGTCTCTAAATGGAAATATGTGGAAAAATATCAGAGAAAGTCATGATACTCACTCGAGTGGATTTCACAGTTAAAAGGACTGCTGATTAGTCATGAGCTCATTATTTTACTCACTGCACTTCTCTGCTTGTTTCAGGACCCAGAGCAGCTACAGGATAAATCCAATGAGATTCTGACTGCCATAATCCAGGGGATGAGGAAAGAAGAGCCCAGTAATAATGTGAAGCTGGCGGCTACAAATGCACTCCTGAACTCATTGGAGTTCACCAAAGCAAACTTTGACAAAGAGGTAAGTCTCTTTTGACAAAAAGACATAGGTTTGGAAGGTAAGGAGTAAGAGTTAAATGAAAGTTGTTTTTTTGTTGTTGCTTTTTTTAAGTTTGTGGCTTAGAAAGTACCATCTGGTTTAGGTGCACTCATTTCCATTCTAGTTAAGATTTGTGTTGTGTGAGAAGTGACTGTGGAGTAGGTGTCTGCTGTTTCTCATGAGGCTTTGTGGGAAAATGTGATCTGAAGTGTTTCTAAGCTTAGGTTTTTACTCTTGCAGTTCAAAATGTGGGTATGCTCTGGGATTTAAAACAAACAAACAAAAAAAACAACAAATTGGGGCACTGGAGTGGCTTAGTCAGTTGAACTTCCGACTCTTGGTTTTGGCTCAGATCATGATCTCAGGGTTGTGAGATCAAGCCCCATGGAGAGCTCTGTTCCCAGCAGCTGTGCGTGGAGTCTACTTGAGACTCCCTCTCCTTCCCCCCTCTGCCCCTCTCTCCACTTATGTACCTGCATTTTCTCTTTCTCCCTCAAATAAATAAAATCTTAAACACAGAAGTTGTAGAGCTTTTTAAAAATAAAAAAGGGCTGGCTGGCTTGGTTGGTGTGCATATAACTTGATCCTTGGGTTGGGGTCTTGAGTTCTGGTCCCTTGTTGGGCATAGAATTTTTAGTTTGAAAGATCTTATTTATTTATTTATTTATTTATTTATTTATTTATGTATTTATGTATTTATTTATTTATTTAGACAGAGCAAAAGAGGGGTGATGGTGGTGGCAGAGTGAAAGGGAGAAGCAGGATCCCTGCTGAGCAGGGATCCTGATGTAGAGCTCGGTCCCAGGACCATGGGATCATGACCTGAGCCAAAGACAGATGCTTAACCAACTGAGCCACCCAGGCACCCTGGGCTTAGAGTTTGATTTTAAAAAAATTGTAGAAGTTGTGGGCTAATTAACTCCTTGGAAGATGCTTTTGAAAATTAATATATAAACAAAGCTTATCTTGTCTGAAAATATTTCCGCCTATTACTTATTCGTGTTAAAATCTACAATGACATTAAGTTTACCATTTTAAGCATTTTTAAGTGTATAGTTCAGTAGTGTTCAGCATATTCATGTTGTTTTGCAGCCAGTCTCTAGAAATTTTTCATTTTGTAAAACTGAAACTATTTGCATAGAACCAACTCCCTCTTTTCCCCTTCCCAGGCCCTGGCAACTTTTTTACATTCTGTTTCTATGAATCTGATTACACTAGATACGTTATTTAAGTGTAAGCAATCATACAGTATTTGATTTTTTTATGACTGGCTTATTTCACAAAGCATAATATCTTGGGTTCATACATGTAGCCTATGTCAGAATTTCCCTTTTCAGGCTGAATAACATTTTGTTTTGTGTATATACCACATTTTGTTTATCCGTTCATCTGTCTGTGGACTTTTGGGTTGCTTCCTTTCATCTTCTGACTCTTGTGAATAATGCTGCTATGAATGTAGGTGGACAAATAGATCTTTGAGGCCCTCCTTTTAGTTCCCTTGGGTCTATCATCAAGTGGAATCACTGGATTGTATGTGATCTGCAAGTATTTTTCTATACTTGTTGACACTTTAGCTGTGCTTTTTGCCATTTCTTGGTCTTACTGTGGACAAAGTAGGGAGGTCTAAGAAGCCAAAGCAAATTGTAATTCTAATTGCTTAGAAAACAGACTTTTTCCTTTTAGATTTCAGAAGACTTAGGATAGTAGCAAATCACTTCATTGTTGTGTTCTCTTGTGTCTTACCATGATTGGTGGGGATTTGCCACCTCCCAGGAAACAAATTTTTAAGTAAAGCAGATGTTTCGAATTCTCTTAGATTTTAAATATAAAGAAATGGGTTTTCCTAATGTAGGGTTGTGGGTTTTTTTTTTTTTAACCATTTATATTTAAACCCTGTGACCTACATTTTCCTGTCTACTTCCTTCTTGGAGTCTTGTTAGTGAAGATCATTTTGGGGATTAAAAGATTAGGGACTGGGATGCCCGGTGGCTCAGCGGTTGGGTGTTTGCCTTCGGCTTAGGGCATGATCCCGGGTTCCCAGGATCGAGTCTTGCATCGGGCTCCCTGCCTGGAGACTGCTTCTCTCTGTGTGTATCTCTCATGAATAAATACATAAAATCTTTAAAAAAAAAAAAAATAGGGACCTCTTTAGAGGGCAGGTCATATAGTAGGGACTGTGTCAGGGAAAAGCTGCTTGATTGGTTCATGGTTACGGGCTGATGGGGAGTGCAAGGTTTTCTCTGAAGAGAATAGTCTAGCAATCTTCATATATATGTTGTACTCTTCTTATTATCTTTTACTTTTATTCTTCCTGCAGTCCGAAAGGCACTTTATTATGCAGGTGGTCTGTGAAGCCACACAGTGTCCGGATACAAGGGTAAGTGTGAGTTCATATGAAAAATCCATCTCTCGGAAATGCCATTTCTAGCATAGTAGTTTGAAATGCTGGGAATCAGGTAACATCAGAAATAAGGTTTGACTAATACTGATCTTCATAAAAGAGAGGAAAATTGTACTTAGTTAACATAATGGAAGTTATGTCCTCTGAAAAGATTTAAGGAAGAAATGGTTTTTGATCACCCTTGCTACTTAATTGCTGTAAGTTATACAAGTGATTGTTTTTCATTGTAGCCATTGGAATAGGTTTACTGTTGCTGTACTTAAACCTTGATCCTCCAAACAGATGGGACTAACATCTAGTCTGAATAGCATTCCTGAGTTTAGCCCTCCATAGGTTCCAGAGGCACCTTTAAAGAGAAAAGAAAAATAAACAAGGATGGTGAAAAAAAATTTAAGAGATTAATTTTGAAGAAATGTTGACATAACCCAAATGTACCTCAGTTGGCCCTTTAGATTACTGACCCATTTGTGTGATGTAGTTCTCTTTGTCAGACTACATTATTAATCCCTTTTTTTTTTTTTTTTTTTTTTTTTGTAAAAGGTACGAGTGGCTGCCTTACAGAATCTGGTAAAGATAATGTCATTGTATTATCAGTATATGGAGACGTATATGGGTCCTGCTCTTTTTGCTGTAAGTATTTCTATTTTATGTATGTTAGCATGTAGCTAGTTGCAAAGCCCATCATTCTTGATGTTTTGTCATTTCTGTAATTTTTTTACTTAGTATTACGAAACCAAGGAAATTCCTTGAGTCTGAGTGTTATGTTTAAGCCATCAGTAATGTGCCAAAAAGACTTGGGCTTCCTTTGTGGTGGGGAAGAGTGTATTTTAAAAATCTATTTTCTGTTTCTACCTTTCATTCAGACCTAGCTTTCATAAATGTACATTTTTGACACTTGAATGTCTGTGGTTGAAAATGGAGGTCTAACTTGAACCAGCACTTACTTGGTGTCTGGTATGTCATTTTTTTTTCCTTTCCCTCTAAAGATCACAATTGAAGCAATGAAAAGTGACATTGATGAAGTGGCCCTACAAGGGATAGAATTCTGGTCCAATGTGTGTGATGAGGAAATGGACTTGGCCATTGAGGCTTCCGAGGTGAGCCTGGGAGAGAGTTGGTGCAGCAGGAGAATTATTTGTCTGACATAGCTCCCTTTTGGGTATTCAGCTCCTCTGAGAAAGCTTTATTCTGCATGGGCTTAGAGGGCATCTCCATTTGTAGAGCTTTTGCTTTCTCTGCTAGCCAGAGCCCCTCAGGAGAGAGACAGACCCATAATGAAGCATTTCATGCTTTACCAATCAGCCAGACGTGATTTATTATAAGTGTTGATGTTACTACCATGAACACAAGGGGGCAGCAGGCAGTCACAATTTAACAAGGTGACGTCCAACGCTGAGTTATTTCCTTTTGGAAGTCCTCATGCAAGCATGGGATGCATAATTGACAGCTTACTAACTCTGGTGAAGGAATTCATTATAGACAAAGGGGCTAGGTCTGCACTTTGTAATCTTTGAACTCAAGCTTTTTTTCCAGCCTTAATCGTCTTGCACACTTTTAAGAACCAGTTTTATTTTTGGCATCATTACGTAAACTTAGTACATCTCTTGATCCAAAGGTTAGTTAGATGACAGCTTCTTAATATGAATTGAGCTTGTGAAAAAGGAATGTAGTTCTTAAGGTTGCCTTGGTCCTTTAAGGTAGAAGATATGTATGGCCTAAAAGAATCTCATTGAAGTAGACCAAAGAAATGAGTGCCTCCAAAGATCACAGCAAATGTTACATTTGCTCTGTGTATTTCTGTACAAACCCCTGGGCAGCTCTCATTGTATGCCTCTAGTACCAGCCTGTTTGCTGCTGTCCAGAATTTGCTTTTATGTTTCTCCTCAGGCAGCAGAACAAGGACGACCCCCTGAGCACACCAGCAAGTTTTATGCCAAGGGAGCACTACAGTACCTGGTGCCAATCCTCACACAGACACTAACTAAACAGGTGAGTTACCTCACAAATCTAGCAGGGTAAGCCATGAGATATTATTGAGGGTTGGTTTGCTGTGGAACAATTTCCATGAAGGAACTCAGCAACTCGTTAGCTGGTTCATGTTTTGTTATAGATGACCGGGAAGAGCCGAGCTGGATCTCTTAAGATCCTCTAGGCTCTCGGTTGTTTGCGAAGGAGAGCTGGGTCTGAATGTTTCAGCCTTAGTTGTGAACAAGCTACACACGCTGATTCCTGAGTGCTGTACCATGTCCAAAGTAATGCAGGAGACATGTGCTATTAAAGTTGGAGTAAAGAACGGTTAGTAAGAGGTATGTGGTAGTTTTAGGCCATTCAAGTATCTGCTAATATTTGGATTATTTTCAAGAGTTCACAGTATGTATATACATTTAAAATCTTGATGAGGTTAGATAAGAATTATTCTGGAGGTGCCTGAGTGGCTCAGTCTGTTAAGCATTGAACTCTTGATTTTTGGCTCCGGTCATGATCTCAGAGTCGTGAGATCAAGCCCGCGTCAGGCTCCATGCTTGGTGTGGAACCTGCTTGAGATTACCCCACCCCCACCCCCCGTCCCCCTGCACATGGGTATGCACTGTCTCAAAAACAAAACAAAACCAAAAAAAAGAATTACTCTGATTCTTCTGTGATCGTTAACATCAATGAGATTCAGGACAAAATAAAAATAACAGGACTTCATGAAGATTTGAATCTAATGGGTAAATATAGAAATTCTTTTATGTGAAGTATATCTTGGTTGTCATTCTCTTTTGACTTTAGGCATCAGAGTTTTCCTTGGTATGGTGTTTGGAAAGATTCTTCGGTATAACAATCTCAAAAGATATAAGTAAAGATATATTTGGTTTGAAATGGACTGGGTGTCCTCTCATTTTCATATCCTGGTTCAGTTTTACAGTTATTTCTTGTGTCTTTCAACCTCAGTATCTTCACTTTTGTATATTGTGGTTTTCGTATTTGGAAACAAATCATTCTTTAGGTATATAATATTCTGAAGCAGCATAAGGCAACCTGCTTTTTTTTTTTTTTTTAAGATTTTATTTATTCATTCATGAGTGAGAGACAGAGACACAAGGAGAGGGAGAAGCAGGCTCCCCAAGGGGAGCCTGATGCAGGACTCAATCCCAGGACTCTGGGATAACGACCTGAGCCAAAGGTGCTCAACCACTGAGCCACTCAGGCACCCCAAGGCAGCCTACTTTTGAATTATTAGGTAGTACGGGTAGCCACAATAAGGAAGATGAACCTTGAGTTCTAGTTTCAGGGAAGATCTGAATGGAATCTTTTTTTCCGTTTAACTTCCTGTTGAACTGTAATAGTCACTAGCACACCAGGAGCCAGGAGCCACCTCATGCCTTCATCTTCCTCATTCATTCCCTCCCCTTTACCACCACAGATTATTTTATTAATTTTGGACTTCGTAGAACTGGAATCATACAGCATATCTTCCTCTTCTGCCTTTTGCTTTCTATATGTTCAAGTTTCATCCTTCTTGTTGCACATAGTGAACTTGGTTCATCTTGTTGTATACTAAGTAGGACTTGCCTCCGTATGCATCTTACTTACCAAAGTCCATGCTGTGATGAATCTTTGTGGAAGAAATTAAAATATAAGGGTTTTATATTATATTTATATCTCTCAAACTTAAGTTCCAATAACATTTGGGAGTAGTCAGAAGACCTTTTGAGTTAGTAATTCTCTTATTTTGAATTACAGTGATTATTTGAACATAAATTTAACTAGTGCCAAACTCTCTTGTCAGGATGAGAATGATGATGACGATGACTGGAACCCCTGCAAAGCAGCAGGCGTCTGCCTCATGCTCCTGGCCACCTGCTGTGAAGATGACATCGTCCCACATGTCCTCCCCTTCATTAAAGAACACATCAAGAACCCTGATTGGCGGTACCGGGATGCAGCAGTCATGGCTTTTGGCTGTATCTTGGAAGGACCAGAGCCCAATCAGCTCAAACCACTAGTTATCCAGGTGAAGCTGAGGAAGTTTTAGGGTGGAAAGTGGAGTATTTATTGTTTGAACTTTTTCCTTGAAAGTGTGCCTCTATTTTAAAAACAAAACTATACATAGTCACGCACCAAATTTATTTTGGATTGTTATTTGCTGTCAGTAAAGGAATGATAAGGTGTGTTTCTTGACTCTTTAAAATTATTATTACAAAAGTCATGACTTGAAAATTTCAGAAAAGGCTGAAAAGAAAAAGTCACTTTTAATCCCATTGCCTAGGAATAGCATTATTAACTCTTAGTATTTATCTGTGTAGCAGTGTTCTGTGTGCATATATGTATGCGCAACAGGATAGAGTTCTCAGTGGCCAGTAGTCTTAAAACTTATTTTTTCACTTACTGCTATATCATTAACTTTCCCCATAATTCTTAGCAATGTGATGGTTTTGTCCATAAGACAAAATGATATCTATGTAATGAAAACTATTGTGAAAATGCTGTTTATTTTACTATTACAAGTGATACAAGAGTCCATTGTAATGTGTTTTTAGTGTATGGAACTCAGCCTTTTGAAATACAGCCAGATGCCATCACAGCTGCATCTAGATGCATCACCTGAGTGATTCAGTAAAAGGCTGATAAAAGCATTCATACTAGACTCTTAATAAGATTCTATGCTGGGATTTGGTGAAGAGAGGACTGTTTCACCTTTTCACTTTTTACGATTTTATTTATTTGACAGAGCGCACAAACACACAAGTAGAGGGAGTCTGGCAGGCAGAGGGAAAGGGAGAAACAGGCTCCCTGTAGACCAAGGAGCCCAATAGCAGGGCTTGGTCCCAGGACCCTGAAATCATGACTGGAGCTAAGGTGCTTCTCACTTTGATTTTATTATACTTTTGGGTATATGACAGTCTTTTAAAATGACAAACTATATTGGTGCTTTGGGTTAAAACCCAACCATCAAGGGACGTCTGGCCCGGCTCAGTTGGAAGAGCATGCACCTCTTGGTCTAGGGATTGTGAGTTGGAGCCCCACATTGGGTATAGAGATTATTTAAATAAAACTTTTAGAAATCGTGACTATCAGTATTTCCGTTTCAGTCAACATGAATTTTAATCTTTGCTTTGCTCTGCTAATAACTGCTGTATTTGCAGGCTATGCCCACCCTAATAGAATTAATGAAAGACCCCAGTGTAGTTGTTCGAGATACAACTGCGTGGACTGTGGGCCGAATTTGTGAACTGCTCCCTGAAGCTGCCATCAATGATGTCTACTTGACTCCCCTGCTGCAGTGTCTGATTGAGGGCCTCAGTGCTGAACCCCGAGTGGCTTCAAATGTGTGCTGGGTAAGGGCTTTTCTTCGCGCTGAGATAACGGAGCAGGGCTGAGCCCTTGGCAAGAACATAGGACGTTTGGGAGAGAAATGGGTCTACCTCACTGGAAGGCCTTTTCTGAATAGCATCTCCTTCCTAATTTCTTTACTTAAAATGTGGAGGAATGCCAATTGCATGAGCCAGTGGAGCTGTTGACTCATGGTGACTGGTTCCCAAACCACTTAGAACAGTCATACTAACCCATTGGGAAAACCATCAGGACCTGGTTTTCTTCCTTCAGTTGACCGGGGACAAGAAATTTTGATTAAGTTAGAGGGTTGCTGGCTACAAAAAGTACCATTGCTGAGAAGGGGGCAAAAGAGAAGGAAGGTAGGCGGCCCAAGTGCTGAGTCAGTACAGGCTGAAGGTTCACTAGGGACCTTTGAGGGTGTGGGGGAGGAAGTTGAGATAAGGAAGGGGAGTGGGGCTAAAAGCCTTTCTGTAAGTGGAAAAAGAAGTAGTGGCCAGTGTGTGGTAGATGAAAGTACTCTGCAGCTGAGAGAGTTGGGATGGGACAAACAATATAAATAAATAAATACTTAATTTTAAGGATGTCTATGAAGAGATGATCTTGAGATGACCTTGACAGAAAAAGTTGAGGATTTGTTAGCATCGATTTATTCATAGATCAATTGGAAAGGAACACTGCCCGTGGTGTGTTAAGGAAAAATGAGGTTATCCTGGGGTAGGGTTCTTTTCAGGACTAATACTAATAACTCTGTCTGGATTTAAGGCCTTCTCTAGTCTGGCTGAAGCTGCTTATGAAGCTGCAGATGTGGCTGATGATCAGGAAGAACCAGCTACCTATTGCTTATCTTCTTCTTTTGAACTCATAGTTCAGAAGCTCCTGGAGACCACAGACAGGTGACGGATACTACACAGAAACGGGGGGTATCTGCATCCTGCTCCTTCTGCCGTGTGTGAGGGGCACGTAATCTAATCCTGGGAACATAGTACTAGGAAGCATTAAAAGAATCCTATAGTAGATGATTTGTTTAAGTAAGAGAAAGGGACTCCTAGCTGGCTCAGTCATTAGAGCATGCAGCTCCTGATCTTGGAGTCGTGAGTTCAGGCCCCATGTTGGGCTTAGGGATTACTTTTAAATAAAAAGAGAGAGACTCTAGAAAATAGTCTGTAGACTATGTCTACATTAGAATGTTCACCTTAAGGCAGCCCCAGTGGCCCAGTGGTTTAGCGCCGCCTTCAGCCCAGGGCGTGATCCTGGAAAAAAAAGAATGTTCAGCTATACAAGTAAAGTCAGAAAACAGTTATATAAGAAGGAATTGATTTGGGGCGCTTGGATGGCTCAGTTGGTTAAGCCTCCAACTCTTGATTTCAGCTCAGGTCATGATCTCACAGTGGTGGGATCAAGCCATGCATCAGGCTCCAAGCTGAGTGTGGAGCCTGCTTAGGATTCTCTCTCCCTGTTCCCTGCCTACTTTCTCTCTCTCTCCTAAAAAAAGGTGAGAGGGATTAATCTAGAGAGGTCCCTTCATTTTGCTATGTCTACAGTTAGCTGAATTATTTGATTATAGTATAAGAAAAATAGCTTCCATGAATTTTTTAAGATTTTATTCATTTGAGGGAGAGAGAAGCAGACTCCCCCCCACTGAGCCGGAAGCCCAATGCAGGGCTCCACCCTAGGACCCAGAGATTATGACCTGAGCAGAAGGCAGATGCTTAACTAACGGAGCCACCCAAGCACCCCAACACTTTTGATAATAGATGAAGAATATGGCATTAAATACAATTATTTTGTAAATGAGTTTTTTTGAAGTTTTTTGAGGTTTTTTTTTTTTTTTTTTAAGTAATCTCTACACCCAGTGTGAGGCTCAAACACAGCCCCAAGATCAAGAGTCATGTGTTCCACCAACTAAGTCAGCCAAGAGCCCCTGAAATGTAGTTTTAACAGATTGTAAGTTGGGACAACCTTTAATTATTTTGGTTTTGGCTCAAAAGAAACCATTAGGGAAAAGGCTGGGTATAAACTCTTCATGCTTAACCAGTTCTATGTCTACTTCTCTGATCAAAGTTCTGTATAATAGTATCTCAAAGATGAATGAAGAAAGTTGAGCTATCTTTTTCTTAGCATGTCAGGCATCCTTGTCGGTTGTCCACATGAGTGCTTCAGCTTTTTAAACTAATTTTTCCCCCATAATTTTAGTCCCATTTCCACAGAGCCATTCTAAAGTGTAACCAAGCCTGGAAATCCATAGTAAATAGAGCCATTGGCTCAGTAGTTGAAAATTTGGTTCCTGGTTGTATTGTGTTGCCAAACTCCAACCATATTTACAACTGTATTGGTTTCTAGATTCCTTATTTTCTGTGAGACAAGATTTACGTCATAACAACTCTATTCTTTTTCGGGTAAGACTTTTAGATTGTTGTTGTGTGTTCTTTACAGACCTGATGGACACCAGAACAACCTGAGGAGTTCTGCATATGAATCTCTGATGGAAATTGTGAAAAACAGTGCCAAGGATTGTTATCCCGCGGTTCAGAAAACTACTCTGGTTATCATGGAGCGACTGCAGCAGGTGCTTCAGATGGAGGTGAGGCTGGTGTGAGGCTGGTGTGGCGGGGGCATATGCTCTCTTGGTGGTATTGACGTTTACGTGGAAGTATGTATTTTTTCAGAAAGATAGAAGGTTTATACAAAATATTCCCACTAAAAATCTGCTTTGCTCATCCCAATTTACTCCTACACGCATCACAGCATACACATATGTAAGTTTTTTATTTCCGACATTAGCATCAGTAAAGATTATTTAATGGTCCTGGCAAACCCAGCAAAAACAGAAGCACTAAAGGAGTTTAGAACTCTTTTAGAGGGTGTTTATTCAGAATATGACGATGTTCTTTTCCTTGTAGTCCCACATCCAGAGCACATCCGACAGGATCCAATTCAATGACCTTCAGTCTTTGCTTTGTGCCACTCTTCAGGTATGATGGTGCTTTATCACTTACTGATGCTGATCAGAAACTCTTTTCAAAAGGTCTTCATCTGTGGTTGATTGGGAGAGAGATTTTTTATTTTCCTTTCTTCTTTGTCCATAAAGACAGACTTTGTCTTTTGCAGTGTAGGGAAGGCAACTACTTGGTTTGTGACAGTCCTCCCAGCTGTACAGCTATTTTGTGCTGGCAGCTTCTAGTCTTTGGTTTTTATTGGGTTGTCCAAATGTAGCCCAGTCAGATCTGATTCCCAGCTGCGGTTCACTCAGCTAAAAATATAGCCTTGAGTTTCTATCATCATATTCTGAAACAGTTCCTACTGGAAACTTTATTAAAATTTAAATCCTTTATGGTACCTGTTGTTCAGAATAGACTTTTGAGGGGAGGCTGGAAAAACTAAAATCACTCCTCATTCATGACTGGACTCCTGGATGAAGTGACTGAGGTGCTGTTCCCCTTTTTACCAAACCCTAGAACTTGTCTATCGCTTAGGGGGATACTAGGTTTTAGTATTGAGTGATGCTAACTTGGTCATCTTCCCTGTACATCTCCCTTCTCTTTCTTACCCAAACGTAAAAAAAAAAAAAAACAGTCTGTTTTTAATATCTTGACTGTTAAGATCTTTCCTTAGTCATCAAATACAGGAATGATCTGGTAACATTAGTTGAAACAGATTAAAGAGTAAGGAGGGAGGTGTGAGGAATATTGAATTAGGGGAATTCAGGTTGGCTTTATTTTACCAGAACTGTTTCTTGACCGTCATCAGTAAATAAGATACAGGAAGGATTGCTTTCTTGTTTTATGAGTAAGAACTATATAACCTGTCCTTCTTTAAAGCTGAAAGAAATTCAACTGCCTTTCCAGAAGACTAGAATATGGAGACTGCTCATGGGTGTGTCAGACATAAATGAAATGGAGAAGAGATAGCTTTATGTACCATGGTAGTTTATCTTGTGTTCATTCTGAATTGGGAAATAGAAGGGATATTAAAATGTATGTTTTGTTGCAGAAGATTTACACTGTGAAAGCTTTTGAGCACAAAAAGTGTGTTTGTTTGGCCCTTCCAAAAAAAAGTCACAGGGCTTAATTGATTTTTTAGAAAGATATATATATATATATATATATATATATATATCATTCTGATTGGAGGGTTTGGAATCAACAGATCCTGAACTCTTGTTCACTTCACAGAATGTTCTCCGGAAAGTACAACATCAAGATGCTTTGCAGATCTCTGATGTGGTCATGGCCTCCCTGTTGAGGATGTTCCAAAGCACAGCTGGGTCTGGGGGAGTGCAAGAGGATGCCCTAATGGCAGTTAGCACACTGGTGGAAGGTCAGTGAGCCAAAATCGGGCAGGGAATGTCTTTAGAATGTAAGAGTTTCCAGCAGCCATGGGGCACTTTTGATCACAGAAAGCATGGTCCCGTCTTCTCTTTTACTGAGGCATGACTTGAGGGCAAAATTGGATTGAATGTAAGTGTAAATTTATGCACAAGTGCCCTGCTGTTCTCCTTGAAATAAATGGAGAGCCAGCCGCAACTCAGATTGACGAGTTTTTTGGGGAAAACAGTTATCATCTACCTCTTATTTGTTGGTTTCCTTTTTCCTCTGAAAGTCTACTTGCTTTATTGAGATTTGGCTCCTTTCCAAGGATAGAGGAAACAAAGGTTTCTATTTTCTTCTTGGCACTTGGTACCTCCTGGTTCGGGTTATAATACTTTGAACTTCCATGTTGACACATCCTCATGCTCCATATGGGATGGAGTGAAAAACTGAGAGTTCTAAGAATTAACTGGTCTTCTGGTTGTTCTATGTTTGACTCTACAAAATCGCGTTGGGGAATCCATGTCTGCTTAAGATTCTTTGAAGGGCCGTTAGAAGCACATTAAAGAGCTCTTAAGAAACCTGAGATGCTTCTTCAGGGTTGGCCTGGATGGTGTATGACCAAAGCTGTTACCTGAGGACCAGACCTATTTCTAGCATTAGGAGCATATGTTCAACTGAGAGTTGATCTGGCCACATGTAACTACCCTGATAGGGCACAGAGGTTCACTTTGGCTCCTGGAGTGGCTAATTGAGCAAAAAGTCCAGTCTGCTTTCCCTGGCTAGCTTGTTAAAATAAGTCCTTGATGGAATTGCCCAAGGATGGACCCTGTTTTAAAGCTGGCCGCCAGAGAAGACATGTTGTGTAAACAGATGAAGGAGGTAGCCAAAGAGGCAGTGTTATTAGCTCATCCAATTCAAAATTAACCCTTGAGAAAAAAAACCCTTGGTTGGCTGGTTGGGTTTAGCCAAAGTGAAATCCCACTCTAGAGATTTGGCATTATCTTCAGGACATAAGAGTTAGGCCCTTCTAGCACTTAGGAATTTGACTTGTCTGAGATAACCTGTCTTCATGATAGAATCCACAGTTAACTTAGACTTCACCTGCCCAACCTGTTGAGTGGAATAAATATGTTTTGAGAGAGCAGGCATGGTTATTTTTGCTCACTTCTGTGATACCCTGTGATGCTAATAGTTTGTTTCTTTACAGTGTTGGGTGGTGAATTCCTAAAGTACATGGAGGCCTTTAAACCCTTCCTGGGCATTGGATTGAAAAATTATGCTGAGTACCAGGTAATCTATGCTTTTTAAAAGGATATTTATATTCTTTATATTCTTATTTATTCCTGATAACTACCTCATGGTTCAAAGTCCAGGTAGTCTCTGTATTGTCCCCAGCTGTGGAACTAAAAGTAGCCCATAAAAAGCAGGATATTAGATGCCCCAACCTAGCACCCTGAAAAAAGGTTTTTTTCCCTTTTTTTTTTTTTAAACCACTGAGCTCTTGTCATCATCATTCCCAGTGAATATTGTCATTTCTGTCCCTTCTTAATAATATCTTGAAGAGTCTTCACTCTTTTTCTGCTGTATGGATTGTTAAAATGAAGTCGGGGTGCCTAGGTACCTCCTCAGTTGGTTAAGCATCTGAGTCTTGATCTCAGGGTTTTTATTTTTTTTTTTATTTTTTTATTTTTTTTAAATTTTTATTTATTTATGATAGTCACAGAGAGAGAGAGAGAGAGGCACAGAGACATAGGCAGAGGGAGAAGCAGGCTCCATGCACCGGGAGCCCGATGTGGGATTCGATCCCGGGTCTCCAGGATCGCGCCCTGGGCCAAAGGCAGGCGCCAAACCGCTGCGCCACCCAGGGATCCCCAATCTCAGGGTTTTTAAGTTCAAGCCTGCGATGGGTTCTACACTGTGCATGGGGCCTACTTTAACTTATTTGAGGAGGAAGATGTGTTTTTTTCTTCAGCTCTAGGCTCAAGTAATAAAGGACCAGCTGCCAAATAAAAATAATGGCCTTATCCTGCAGGTGGCCTTTTCTGTTTCGGAGATCATTTCCTTGACTCTTTGCAGGTTTGTTTGGCAGCTGTGGGCTTAGTGGGAGACTTATGCCGAGCTCTGCAGTCCAACATCTTACCTTTCTGTGATGAGGTGATGCAGCTCCTGCTGGAAAACCTGGGGGTGAGTGTCTACACACATAGTCTAATTTACTAGCGTTTGAAGAAATTGGGAAAGATGATTAAAAACGAAGTGAGGGCACAGACGGGTTGCCAGGATGTTGGCCTTAGCCTCATGAAGAAAATTATTCATTTTCACAATGTGATTCTACAAAGTAAGGTTGTAAAATTAACTAAAGGAAGGCATGAGCAATACGTGGAACAGGGTGGGCAGGAAGGCCAGTAAAATATATGTGTAGTTCCTCTGTCCAGAGATAGCCACTGTTAATTTTTGGGTATGTCCTTAAGGTCTGTACGGTGTATTAGTAGTTTTATTATTTTAAAAATGTTTCTTTAACCTTTAGACAGAATATTTTGGCTTTAATTAATTTGATTTCCCTCTTTTTCTCTCCTGCCCTGGTCAGAATGAAAATGTCCACAGGTCTGTGAAACCACAGATTCTGTCAGTGTTTGGTGATATTGCTCTTGCTATTGGTGGAGAGTTTAAAAAATATCTAGAGGTTGTCTTGAATACTCTTCAGCAGGCCTCCCAAGCCCAGGTGGACAAGGTGAGCTTAAAGTTGTCTTTTATGTCCAGCCCTGATGGGATGAATGGGATTTCTGACAATCCTACAACTAAAGGCTCTTGGTATAATGGAGATTCTGTTTTGTCTTTTACAGTCAGACTATGACATGGTAGACTACCTGAATGAGCTAAGAGAAGGTTGCTTGGAGGCCTATACCGGAATTGTCCAGGGATTGAAGGGAGACCAGGAAAACGTGCACCGTTGAGTATAAAACCCAGTGGACTTAGTCCAGAGTTCATGTAGCCAAATGGGCTGTGTCTTTGGTTCTGTAGTTTATGAACTAGCACCTATTGCTTAGAAGAAGGGGAGAAGGAGAAGGAACGGTACCCTCATGAAGAAAGTAGCTTTGGAAGAGTATCCAAAGATATAGTCTTTGCTATTTCAGCCCTGCTTCCTCTACTTTGTCTTACCTTTCTTGAGCACCATAAGGAATGGGATCCAGCAAGGCTATTGGTGCTAGTCATATCAACATGAGCCCTGAGTGGCAGTTGTTTAACATATACACACCACACATACACACTTCCAGTGCAGTTGAATTAAAGAATTGAGAGAGCACATTTCCTCTCCCACATGATGTTTCTGTTATTGATTGGGGAAATATTTGTCCTTTACCTCTTTTGATGTCATGGGCTTAAAGGGGAGGTTCCATTTGTTATTTCTATGCTTATAATAAGAGGAGCATCTGCCTCTTTTGTTAGCGTGAAGGATGACCTCTTGATTTGAGGAATAGTTTGATATAACTATATGCAACTAATTCTCCAGCCTAAACCTGCCTAATCGGGGTAATATATTTGGAAATTTTGGAATGGGGTATATAGTCCTACCAAAGGTGGGGCAGCTTCATCAGACCTTTTTTTTCTATTATAGCGGATGTCATGCTGGTACAACCCAGAGTAGAATTTATTCTGTCTTTCATTGACCACATTGCTGGAGATGAGGATCATACAGACGGAGTAGTAGCTTGTGCTGCTGGACTGATAGGGTAGGTTATATCCTATTTCCAACAGCTGAATAGAACTTCTCGTAGAAAATGAGAAGACCTGTGGTAAAGAACTTTTGAGAGTAGCCTAAATGGTAATTAACCACTTATTTGGTATGGCTATTTCTTTAATAGAATCCATGGTGTCCTGTTTCAAGTTCTCACAGGTGATCATTCATTCTAGACCTTAGCTCTAGTCTCATCCCAGACCCTCCAGATTTCTAACTTCTCTTCGGTAAAGTCTGTAAACTGAATTCTCAGAGGTATAGAAGTAGCATCAGATGTGTGTCCATCCCATATTCTGAGATTGGTCAACACATTGCCTATGTTTAGCTTCCCCTATTGAAAGTTTCTGAGAGATCATTAGAAGAACCACGAATTAGTTGTGGACCTCAGGGTAAGTCATCCTGTCTCTTTAGACCTCATTTTTCACGTCTTTAGAGATCAGGTGCTTGACTTCCCCTAAAATTTCTTCCAACTTTAAAAGCTAGGCGAATCCTAGGAGACCCACAATTACCTTAGCACTGGCTTGAAACAGGAAAGCAGGATGAGGCCAGGAGCTCATTTAGGTGTGTTTATTTTGCACAGGGACTTGTGTACAGCATTTGGAAAGGATGTACTGAAATTAGTAGAAGCTAGGCCAATGATCCATGAACTGTTAACAGAAGGACGGAGATCGAAGACTAACAAAGCAAAAACCCTTGCTACATGGGCAACAAAAGAACTGAGGAAACTGAAGAACCAAGCTTGGTAAGAGCTTGTCCCCACTGCCCTCTTGTCTTCCACTTTCTCGGGGAGGAGGCACAGTTTCTTCAGACTGTTCCAACAAGGGATGCCTTTCTCTTGGTGTTTTGTTTTGTACTCTCTCCCATTTAAGTGCTTTTGAGCCAAGCCTTAGTTCCTTAGGCTTGTACTAGTGGAGGGGTTGGGCATCCTCAGTATTTCCTTGAGCCAAGTGTTTGATTCCTCTTGGTGATGAAGAACAGAACTTACGTAACTAGAAGTCAGTGAAGTCCCCAACTGATTTTGGGCTCTAATAAAGTTATTGGTAATGGTATTTTCCCAGAATTCTCTTTTCTACTCTCTATTCCCTTCCTCCTGCTCTTTACTTTTTTTTTTTTCTGCAATGCTTTTAGGCATTGTGTGGCTCTGCAGAAGATGTCCCAAGTCAAGAGTTGTCTGACCCCTACTTTTATATGTAGTTTTAATTTATTCTCCTTTCACATGCTCATTCTCTTAACTCCATAGATCTCAGTAAAACACTATTTTGAGTTTTATCTTTTTAGTGTCCCTGCCACCTTCTAACATAGGTGCTAATGAGAGCAGGTAGTTGGCACATAGGAATACAAGAAAAATAATCCTTGAGAAGTTGACAGATTCATTTTGGGCTTATGAGCATTTGATTGTGGGAATCAGAAAAGCATTTGGCTCTCCTGGTTATCTGTGATCTCAGAAGTTGACCTGTTTTCCATCTGTTTTTAGATCTGTTACCATTGGGATGATAACCTGAGACCCCCACTGGAAATCTCCAATCTTTTGAAAAACCCGGAAGTGAGGAGTGTGCACGGATGCTGAATGTTTGGGAATGAGAGGATGAGTGAGTGAGGCTTGAAAACACACCACATTGAAAATCCTGCCACAGCAGCAGCCGCAGCCGCCAACAGCAGCGCTGTTAGTGAGCTAAGTAAGCACTGACTTCGTAGAAAACCATTACGTCGGCCATCTTGGAAAAGAGAAAAACGATGGATTTACTTGCTTAGAAAAGAAAGTTATCTCTTCCCAGGAGAGGCTAGAACTAGCTTTTCTGTCTTTTGGCCGGTGCCGAGTGGAGTGACTGGTTTGGGAGAGGAGGAGGGACTGGGTTCAGCTGTGGTGCTTTGTTGTAAAAGGCAGCCTGCCCTTTGCTACTGATAAGAAAGATGGAGCCTGGGTCTCAAGCCCACCTTTGGTGTACCTTTGCCACACGGTACTGTATGCGTGCCGGCTAAAAGGAGGGTTGAGGGATTCTTTACAGTCTGAGAATGAGTGTGTGTGAGTGAGGCGGTATCCACATTCTCAACTTCAAGTCATTGCAGTTTCTTTTTCCCAGAAAAAAGGGGTTAGATGTTGCATTTCATAAAACTAACCGAAGTTCTGTCTACTGATGCAGCACAAGAGATGTGTAAAAAAAAAAAAAAAAAGAAAAAAAAAGGAAAGACGCTCTTTAGGTTTTTGTTTTGTTTTTTTTTTTGTTTTGTTTTGTTTTTTTGTTTTTTAATTGTCTTCTAGGGAAAACACTGACGAATGGTCAGAGCTCCCGTATCCTGATCTTTTCATCAAGGCGCCTTTCCTAATAATATGGTTCAACTGTGAATGTAGAAGTGGGGGGGAGGGGGGAGAAAAAGAAAACTCTGGAGTTAGAGGATCTAGAACAAATTAAAATACAATTGTCACAAAAATAACGCAAACTTCAAAAACAAAAGAAAGCCACAATCCAAACAAACCAAAATTTAGATGCTCAGAATTGGCAGCATGAAAGAGAAGTTCTCTCCTAATATGTATCGTGATAGTCTGAACACCCCCAGAAAATTGTGCCAAAGAGTTTAGAAAACAAATATACAATAAAAGTAAACACACACACACATACACACACACACACACACAGAAAACTTCAGGTAACTATTTTGGATTGCAAACGATAAATTTAATGTTCAAACAATCTGATAAAATAACCATTTGGAAACTGCTTGGCCTTCTGTTCTCTTTTATTTGATTGACTACAATGCGGTATTGGTCTCTTGCTGCACTTCAAAACCAACTAACCAAGAAAACAAAAAAGTATATATATGCACATACACACATATATATATACTAGAACTCTTGTGATGAGAATGGCACTTGAAAAGGGTTTTATTTTTCCACTGAAGGTGAAGATTTAAAGTGGTGTCAAACATTCCCCTGGTCACACACACTAATATATTTTTTAAAGTGTGATGTGCTATGAGAACCATAAATGAGACTAAGTTATTTTCCCTTTTACAAGGGAACAGGGCACCCTGAATTTTGGTTTTAGAATCTTTCAGCAATAAGGAGGGATATAAGTGAGCTTTGATCCCCTTTTGGTTTTGCAGTTACTGAGTTTTTGCTGGCATTTTGAATACGCTGCTTTCAAAAACCCCAAGGAAGATTTTTAATTGCTTCCTGGTATTGGGAGGATTAAAACACAAGACCTTAAATTCCCACTATCATTTCTATTCTAGCAAAAAATGTGGGCTTATGTTTTTCTCTTTGCCATTTCCCCTTCCCTGTCCAAGCCTTCCATTCATAAGTGGGATTGGCTCAGTTCTCATCCATATGGCAGCATCTCTAATAGCTCTTGTACAGGGTATCAGATATTGTGCCTTTTGGTGCCAGGTTCAAAGTCAAGTGCCGATCTATGAACCAGTGTACAAAAAAAAAAAGTGTTTGAAGGAAAGACTCCATTGTGAATAGAGTTTGCACCACCTCCTAAGCCCAACAATGAAGAGACTTGACCCTCTAATGCCTTGTTGAAATTTTAGCTGTTTCTTGAAGGAGAGGATGATATACTAACCATTCCTGATAGGTAGGGGTTGGTCAGGGCTTAGGGAGGGGGCAGGAATATTGGGGAGAAAAAAATCTGATCATTCCTCAGTGCTACCCATTTCTGTCCTGTGTGGGCTGCTTAGCTAGACAGCAGGAGAATAAAGTACACCGAGAACCATAATGGAAACAAAACCTTCCGTGTGTTTTGTCATGTTTTGTTCCAGGGAAGCAGTTGACAAGTGCTGTTAATGCTTTCTCCCAGATCCATCCAATGATGGAGAAGAGGAAAGGGGGGCTGGTTGGACTGTGGTCTTGGTGCCTTGCAGGCGTCCCACACTGGCTATGCATTTAATCCTCTCTCCCAGTTACCTTTGGCCAGTGGGTTTTCCAGAGTGGGGATTTGTCCTTAATCAGTTGTACCACCTAAGGCAACTGGATGCAAAAACACATTCTGTGCACTCACTGGGCCTTCCCCACCCTAGTCTTGGCACATTCCTTCAAGAATGTAGTTACCGTCTGCTTGGGAAGATGTCAGTGCAAATGTGAAGAAAATGGGCATCAGACTAGGCTTTGGTGTGCCACAAGTGGCAGCTGCCTATATCAATTACAATTACATTTATTAATTTTGCTTTTCATGTTCCTGGTTCCCCTCAGCTCCCGTTGAAATGTTGAAATTTTGACTGTCAGAGGCAATTGTAATGTTGCCTTCGGGACTTGAGAAGGAGGGGAATTGCTCAGTGTAGTGTTTTCACTTTCAGAACCAAGTAATCTAGTCACTCTGATATTTAAGAAGTGTGTTAGTCTGACTTTTAAGAGAAATCTCAACTCCATCAGCTTTTGATAGCATCTTGGTTTCGAAACAACTTCAGTCTGTAATTGGCATTCAGAATGCCCTTGGCATGCCAGTCTGTGATGGCATTAAAGACCTGTTAAAACACTTGAGCCCAACTTTATTAACCAAAACTGATACCACCACCTTTATCTTCTAAATAAAGTCCGCTTTATTTTTATTTTCAACATTTTGCCGCTTCATTTTTGGTTCCACATGGTGTCACCTTGGAGGTGAAATGAATGGTTTGAAAGAAGCTGGAGTGTGCGATGCTGATAGCTGTGTGTGTGAGCTGGGGAAAGGAAGGACACGTCTGTCTTAAAAATGGACTCACGGTGTGACGGGAAATGAATGAACAACTTGCCTTCGGTGTGGTAGTGAGCAAGCTGTGTGGAGGAGGCTTCTGTTCAGAGTGCTTCTGAAGCTGCTGGAGATTGTCCTCTGTCTTGTGCATATTTTTTCAGGCTAATCTGGTTTGCTTAATGGCTCATCCAGTATTGGCTTTTTACATAACTTGCAGTGTGTATTTAATTTCTACTTCCACTTTTCCCCCCAGAAATTTGTAATGGAAAGAACACTAACTTGGGATATAGGGAGCTAGGTCCGTTCCTTCATTTTGTTGCATAGTGGCACCTGCAGGCTACTTTCTGGAAATAATGCACTTTGTTAATTTATGTTGGGCAAGTAAAATGAGGGCTGACCATAATTTTCTTCCCTTAGCCCTCTACGTGGCCTTTGACTTTTCTGATTGCACCCGTCAGAAATTTTTGATCATGCATACCCCCACGTATTTATAAATTATATACCTGTACTACTGTACTCCTATATTGTGAAACATAAGACACAAAAGTAGATATTAAAAAGCAATTATATGAAAAAGTAAATATAAATAGGAGTTCTAATATATTATTTCTATGCCCAGTTTTGGAGATTACTGGGTTATAAAGGGTAACTTGTAATTCTTCTAAGACTGCATTAAATCCTGAGCTATGGCAGTGGGCCAAGAACATTTCTCCACTGAAGGTGCACTGAGAAAAAGTGCTATCAGTTCATTAATGCAGGGAGGGGCTGCTGCTCCCTGTAACTTTTTTTGTACTTTTCAGTAGTTCTCCCGGTAACTCCCCATTCCCACGTCCCATGTTCCCCCTCCCCAACAAACACTCAAAGAACACAGTACTAAGTAAAGTTACAGTTCCACCTGGCCCCGTGGAGGGCTTCCAGCTCCAGGGTTTCCAGCCCAACTTGCCAGAAGTGAAAAACACTAAGCACAGAAAATATTGTATGTATCAATTCTCAAGCAACCTTACCAATCCCTGTTCCTCTTCTGATGACAAAGGAGGCACTGATTTGTCAGACCAAGGTCACATGGAGTCTGAATTCAAAGCCACATCTGTCAGATACCAAAACCCAAGCTTTTCTCATACTTGCCCTAGACACATGCTGTCAGCATTTTAGGGACACAAAACAAGTGTCTGCTGTTCATATTCATGATGCACCATCCATCTCCTTCACAGCACTACCTAAGAGTGTATTTTAAATTGTTACTTATTGCCAGTTTTCCCAACTATAACTTAACCCCCCATGCAGTGACCTTGGCTGTCCTACCACTGTATGCCCAGTCTAGAGCAGTGCCTGCCTTATAGGAGACCTCCAATAAATACTTGTTGTCAGTACAGTTCTGGGAGTCTCTGGAACAGCATCACTTAGCCTTTGAAAGGCAGAGCATCCAGAAACCTTGGAATGGCAGGCTTCAGGAGATCTGAGCTCCTAGCTCTTCCTCGGTTCCTCATTTGCTGGATGATTTCAGGCTAGCCTCTTAGCCTTAGGTTAATTGGAGGAATAGGAACAGGATTAGTCAAGAGTTAGTCCTCACATGGTGTCTATTTCATGCATTTACCCAATCCAGGCTTGTAATAAACATCTTACACAGAGGAGTAAAAGTAATCCTCGTCAACACTGTAACAAAAGTACCATTTTAGTCCCATTTTACAGGTGAAGAAACCACCACAGAGGGGCTGAGACCCTTGCTGAAAGTCATGCGGGCTAGCAAGCAGTGCTGACTCCACAGGCTGTGCTTGTCACTTGTCTGTCGAACCACGTGGGATGTGGTTTAGAGGATGAGCGATGAGCCTCTGCTCCCAGCGAGCTTACACTGCAAGCAGGGATAGCCCTGGATGAAGCGTTCTTGGAATTCAACAACAAAGCCATTCTGCCTTAAGAGATCCACGGTAAACCTTTCAAGAGTGGTCAAACTCGCAATTTAGGTGTTGGGGGTGGCATTTTTCCCTAACGGCAACTTTCCTCCCACTTGGAGTTTGAACCATCTACTCATACTTCTCTGTCTTCCCACTGAGCTAGAAGCTTTTTGGGAACCAGGGCTGGGGGAGGGGCGTTGGTGGTGCCTGGTAGCCAGAAAGGCCACAGGGCTGCTGAGTAAGCTCCACATCTGAATTACTCCGGTGCTGTGAGCTGGTCCTGGGCAGCATAGCCTGAGCTGTTCCCTCTCCCAGGTGCTCCTAGGCCATAAGTTCCTGAGCTGAGCTCTCCTCCATGTGAAATGTACCTCGTCTGAAGGGAAAGTACATCTCAGCTTTGGCTTTGGCTCTGGATGCAGGGGGCAGCCTGTCACCATCCTGAGGGAAAGAGAATTAAGAAATGACTCTGTGTGAATAAGCTCTCCATAGCAATGAGCACTGTCCTTCAAAATATTGTATAATTTTTTGAGTATGACCTTGGGCAAATTCTTCAACTTTCCTGATCTCGGGTTCATTGGTTGTAAGATAGAGATCCCAATGAAAGATACCCCAGATGAAGTTCTTAGCACAGTGCCTCACGAAAATGCACTAATTAACTACTAAGTATGTGCCAGGCACTGTTACTAACTACTATTATCAACAACTATTACTAAGTACGTGAGGCACTGTTCATGACACTGGTGATAGAGCAATGAATGAAGTAAATCTTCTGATGGAGTGCACAGTCTAATGACTAATAACAAATAGTAGTATTCAGAAGTTCACTATAATCATTTTTAAAAATCCTGAAAATCCGTCTGGCTTTGGCTCAGGTTGTGATCCTGAAGTCCCGGCATCGACTCCCTCATCGGGCTCCCTGCATGGAGCCTGCTTCTCCCTCTGCCTGTGTCTCTGCTTCTCTCACTCTGTGCCTCTCATAAATAAATAAAATCTCTAAAAAAATAAATAATAATAATAATAATCCAAAAAAAGCAATCTGGGAAACAGCAGAAATAAATAGTCATGGACAATATGAAGCACAAATAGTTATTTTAAAAATACCAAACAAAAACTATTTCCAAAAAAAAACAAAAACAAAAACTATTTCCACCCAAGCCT